GGACGAATGGACCGAAGGATTCGCCTTTGTGGAGAGAACGGGTTCTGCGGTGTGTCTGATTTGCAATGTCAAAATACCATCGATGAAACGGTCGAATGCAGAGCGGCACTTTGACACGCCCCATGCTACGTTCGCATCAAAACACTGTGCGAGAGATAGCTGAAAGGAAGCGAGCAAGCTACTGAGCACTGTGCAAGCTAGCCAGCAGTAACTTCGCGTATGGACCCGGCAAGAAGACTTTCATTCCGATAGTTTTGCTGGATTTTTGGCAACCTGTGTGTGTGTATGTGTGTGTGTGTGTATGTATGTATGTATGTATGTATGTATGTATACATACACATATATGGCTCTCACTGAAATACCTTTCCAAATATTTTGCTTTTATGGCTCTCTTAGTCAAAAAGGTTCCCGACCCCTGAAGTAGAGGTACCACTGTATATACATACGCGCGTGACAGTGAGTGCTCCTATTTTCAATAGGATCTCTGTGGGGACTGTGATGGACGGCTGTGTTTGGCTAAGGAGGCCAGAATGACATCACAACATCAGTTTTCAAATCTACAAACATGGTTGCAGTCTAATGTTTGATGTATGGGTTTTAATTGCATTCAAACCTTTATGGGTGTGGTTTTCTGTTAAATCTTGGTGAAATTATTTCTATTGAAAAAATGTCTCGTGTTTGTTCACGGGAATGAATTGAGTAAGAGCAGGGTTGCTTTCATGGGAAATGCATTTTGTTTCCTGTACAACAGGTGGGGGTATGCAACAAAGGACAAAAATGGACCAAGAAAAACAGAAGCAGATGAGCATTTAAAAACAGGAGTACGTGCACAAGCTACTTGGATTGGATTTTTCAGTTGGCCATAATACGGAGCGGGAATCTAATTTAGGTAAGCCATTTTAAACTTTAAATTAAAACCTTTCGGCTATTTCATAGTTAACACAACTGCAGGCAGCCACCAGTGCGCTTCCAGTGACTATTTTTTACAGATTACGAGAGTGTCAAATATGTGTATGTGAGATCTATGCGAGCATATGTATGTGTACTACTCTTTGGATAGAACCGTATGATGTAGATACACTGCAATCCATTTCCCATTTTAATCATGGATTTTTTTCATCTGTATGACAAATGACGGAGGGGCAAAATTTTGTAAAATGTCCACCTCTGCATTTGATAACCATGCCAGCATTTGTATGTGCACCCCTGGTAATACATGTCTAATTTTTTTATGCAACAGATTCAAACAAAAGATTCGATATTTTCAAGACTGCAAGTGTTTTTGTTTGTTTGTTTTTTGTATTACCCAAACATGCAAGGCCAAAAACATAGCAGACAATGGGGCTGAAATGTGTTTTGACACACATGTTTTACCTGTCTGCCTGCTGGTGAGATTTCCAATCTGCAGTCATATGAAGTATTCTGTAAGTATGCTTTCAGCTACATTGTATACAACGTCTTGGATACAAAGAGAGAATGGGGGGGTGGCTACACCTCCACATTCTCCAACTGAATGTCCGTTCCGAAAGTGCTCGTGAAAGTAGAATTTGTGCACTGATTTAACTGCATCTGGCTGATACTTTTTCCACTCCGTGCCATATACAAATTCACATTCAGTGTCATCCACAGTATGAGGCTTTAAAGGTGAGATTGCAAATGTTCCGCACAGACCAAGCTAAACTATTAACATACTGTACAAAAATATCTTGCGCTTCATATCACAACTTCATGAAGAATAAAATAATTTAAAAGCTTTAATTTGGTTACTGTACAGTGTGACTGTTTGGCTCCGGGCCCCACAGAGGCATCAAAGTGCGCGGCCAGTGACGCATGTCGAATCAGTAACTTGGCTCATCAATCTCGTCGTCACTCCAGTCAGGAGGTGCATCAGTTCCAAAATATCTGTCTCCAAAATTACCTAGGGGGTAAAAAAAATGGGACAGTCACATGGGAAGAAACTTTTGTGATTCTAATATGCGTGCAGTGAATATATATCCATCCATCCATTTTCTGATCCGCTCATCCTCACAAGGGGCGTGCCAGAGCCTATCCCAGCTGTCTTCGGGCAGTAGACGGGGGACACCCTGAACTGTTTGCCAGCCCATCACAGGACACACAGAGACAAACAACCATCCGTGCTCACATTCGTACCGAGGGACAATTTAGAGTGTTCCATGAATCTGCCACGCATGTTTTTGGAATATGGGAGGAAACCGGAGTACCCGGAGAAAACCCGCGCAGGCTCAGGGAGAACATGCAAACTCCACACAGGAAGGCCGCAGCCGGAATCAAACCTTGCACCCCTGCACTGTGAGGCCAACACTCTAACCAGTCGCCCACCAGGCCACGTGTCATGAATATCACTAGGAGGAAATGTTACGCACCCACATACAATCAGAAAAGAATCCACGAGCTAGAGACCACATTAAAAACTCAATAACCGAGGATGCCCCCTCAGCACCTCGTGCCCCGATTCCACCCCTGGGAAAACGCTGAGCTGTGCATAAGCGTGGATGCACTGGACTGCAAAAACCTATTAAAAAAAGGTGAACCTAAAAAAATTGCTGTGTCTATTTATGCACGTGCCTTTAACTCACTGACTGGTAGCCATTTTCAAAGCAGTGTTCCCATCTTGCCTGCTGTTTTAGAGCATTTTGACTGATCTTTTGAGACCCACACAATATTGTGTTTTGGGTCAATATAACCAACCACCCAACCGACCAAAACAAATAGTCGACTCTTATTTCACCGGAGAAACGTTTTTTGCTACTCATTTTCGTTATTTTATAATCAGAAGTGCAACATGGATTGGTTTCACTAAAAACAGCCATTTGTAACAAAAATTGAAAGACATGCGTCAAGCAGAACGACTTTGACACCATTATTTTTGGACATTTGTGATTATTTCAAACTATAAAACAAACAAACCCCAAAAAAAACTGAGAAATGTCTTGTTGGCCGAATCAAAATTTACTTAGAGGCGAATAAGAAATGCGCAGTGAGCGGCGCTGACTGAATGTCTCGGACTGAATGTCAGTGGCTGCTATTTATTTATTTATTTTTTCCACATAGCATTTGGCGAATACTGCACCAAATGTGGCATCTTTTCATACGATCGTGACACCGCACGCGGTGGGCCGGACTGCAACATACACTCTTTGAACCGCTACTCCATCCCGTACATTAACACGGGCCCACTGATCTTCATTGATATCAAATAATATTGAGCATCCATAACAGCTGTATACGGCAATCTCATTGTCGTACAAATGTATTTCCAAGGATCAAGGTATTGACCATTACATTATATATAGCACTGGCTGCACTAGCTTTGCTACCAACAACAGAAACATAATTTTATCCAAATTGTAGTATACAACTATAAACACTTGTTGCTATATTCCAGTCTGTATAAAAACAACTCATAAAAGAGGCATAACACACTCACAAGTCTTGTAACGGCAACAAAGCATGATGGGAACGCTTCCTCCGATTACCATTCCAGTTAGCGTTAGTCTGCTAAGTCGTGCTCCAGAGGTTGTGTGAATAGGTTTCAAAATAAGAGCACTATCAGCTAGTGCGGTGTTAGATGCCTTAATCTTGCTGGTTTAAGATTGTTTGGTAAATCTATCCATCCAATAGACCATGAACTGCTCTATAGACGTGGTAATGCTGCATTTGGTTTGTTCACATTCCTGATCCGCTGTCGGCTTCTCACCGATGCCAGGTATGATGTGGAAGAGATCGTTGACCTTCTTGTCCACAGCTGTGGTGATGATCTTGACCTGCGGGAAGGCATAGGCCACCGAGTGCACCCCCATTTCGGCCATTAGCAGAGAAACCAGAAGGATTTTGTCCTCTTGCACATCATGGTCCTGAAACAAACATCTGTGAGATGTGGCCTCGAAACAAACAATTCGAAAAGATCAAATGCAATGTAGTTGACATCAATCCCTCATTTCACACAGGAGATACGCTCCAGATCACCCCTCAAAAATGAATGAAATCTGCAAAATCCTGATGAAATATTTTATGATTTATATATACAGGGTCGGGCGGCCAGGTGGTCCAGTGGTTAGCTCGCCGACCTCACAGTGCCGAGGTCGTGGGTTCGATCCAGCTCCGGCCTCCCTGTGTGGAGTTTGCATGTTCTCTGCGGGCCTGCGTGCGTTTTCTCTGGGTACTCCGGTTTCCTCCCACATTTCAAAAACATGCACGGCAGGCTGATTGAACACTCTAAATTGTCCCTAGGTGTGAGTGTGAGCACGGATGGTTGTTCGTCTCTGTGTGCCCTGCGATTGGTTGGCGACCGGTTCGGGGTGCTCTAGCACCCCCCGCGACCCTTGTGAGGATAATGCGGATCAGAAAATGAATGAATGAATATACAGGGTCAGGCAAAATGATCTGACACATTTGTAGGTTAAATAAAAGGCAAATAAAGTAAAGAAACAAAATAGTGTTTTTATTTTTGAAAAGTATTTAATGTAGGTTAAATAAAAGGCAAATAAAGTAAAGAAAAGTATTTATAATGCCATTTTGCTTTGTTTCTTTATAATGCCATTATTTTTCGTTTCTTTTTCAGTTGCTGCCATGAATTGGACCGGTGAGCATCGTGCTTTCATTGTGGAAACGTTTATCAAAACAAACGAATCTGTAACTGCAAGACAACGAGTGTTCCGTTTGCACTTCAATCTTGGTAGACATGATCCCGTACCAGCTCGAAACACGATCTTGTTATGGTTTACCAACTTCAGAGCTACTGGATCTGCATTGAAATGAAAATCATCCGGGCGACCTTGCACCGCCAGAACTCCACTTAATTTTTAAAACATAATGAAACAGAATGGCGTTAAATGTACTTTTCAAAAATAAAATCCCTTTTTTTGTTTCTTTACTTTATTTGCCTTTTATTTAACCTACAAATGTGTCAGATCATTTTGCCTGACCCTGTATATTTAAAGCTCCACGCATGGCATCAACATATATGCATGTGAGGTGCAGGTTATTTTTTTCTTTTTCCACTTGGGATCGCCTTTTTCACATCCGTGTTTTTCTGTTATGTGTTGTGTTTATTATTTTACCTGATGTTAACTGGTTTGTTAAGCGCTTTGTTACAGCTGCAGCTGTTTTGAAAGCGCTACATAAATCAGGATGTATTGTATCGTTCTTCACTGTAGTGATGTGTGACTGTCGAATGTGCGTGTGCCTCAAAAGGTTAGCCGGGCCTGCTGACAAACATCTTAGGCTACGTTCACACTGCAGGGCATTATGCCCACTTTAGAATTTTTGTTATATCGGATTGTTTTATGTTTTGTCAGAGATTTGGCTCCGACAAGTTGAACAAAGTGACTCGACTCAGGAAGAGACTGTCTTTTCTCAGGAGGCGCAGTTTTCTCTGAAGCCACTCTGTGTTCGCTTCTCCAACCGACACCTGACCTCTGCAGCCTCTGCCGGCATTTTATTGATAGCGGATTTAAATTACAAGTAACATATCAGAATAACACTCCCCTCATATTTCCATGCCGCGCCCCTCGGCCCGGCCCCCTGATATGCCCCTCAGTGGACATTTGGAGGCCAAGACACCTCCCTGTACAAACAACAGATACTTTGTCATTTCAATGGGCAGCCTCTTCATAAACTGATCCATCTGTAACTTTGCTCAAGATCATCTTATCATGCTGGAGCGCATCCTGTCCGCCCGAAGTTGAATCTTTCTTCCTGTATTATCAGTTAATAAGCACCTTGGATCCATTCACCTCAAATTGACCCTTGATTCTCTGTGCTCCATTGTGTACAAGCCGTATAAACACATGTACTCGAGGTCAATCAAGCATGTAACAAAGTAAAACTTTTAAACATGATAACATTGTCTTTGTCTATTCTCCATCAGTACTCGTTCATATTGCAAATACAAATGCAACTTTAAATGTAAAAGCAACACATCAGTGATGTGACAAGCATGCGCACATGGCGCGACATCGAGTGACGGGCACCCCCAAAAAACAAAATAAAAAAAACCTTAAACCGCCATGCATGTTTTTGGAATGTGGGAGTGAGCGGGAGTACCCAGAGAAAACTCAGGCAGACACAGGGAGAATATGCAAACTCCACACAGGAAGGCCGCAGCCGGATTCAAACCCTGCACCTCTGCACTGTGAGGTTGACGTGATAACCAGTCAACCACCATGCCGGGCATTCCTAATCAAATCAATAATAAATATATAACATTTTTTGATTTGTTTATGAGAGACCATTTAATCAGTGCTTAATTGAGATGAATAAAAATGAAAATAAACAATCCATTTTCTTTTATTTAAATTTGAAGCCAATATTCAAGGACTCCTGATAATATAAATGCTCGGTGGGCCAGATCAAAGAAATGAATTGGCCATATGTTGGCTTTTCTTCTGCATTTTTCTCAGCACTGCTTTCATTCTTAACCCTAACTGTTAATGTATAAAGAATGTGGTCTTGTACCTGTTCCTAGAGTGTAAAATGTTTAAATGGTGTTGCGAATTGGTGCAACAGGAATAGAATTGACTATAGACTTGTGCCAGTCCAATTTCTGAAGCAGTACGCACCAGTAGGACTCGAACGGCCATCATGGCTGCAGCGCCAGTGGACACGGTGCAGTCCATCAGAATGACGTGATCTTCACTTATGTCTTTAGGGAGACGGAGGTAATGGAGCTGTACAAGAAACAAAGTATGACTTGATGCCACAATGTTGTACACTGTTTTGATGGCTGTCTCCAGTATGCAATTGATTTAAACCTGGACCTCAGGTTCTCCTGTGTCCTGATTGGTCTGGATGAGGATTTTGCCGATGCGGACATCTTTGCAAACGGCTCTTAGAGCGGGTTCCATGGTTTCCCCTGCCCGCAAAATGGACACGCCAGTGATCTGCACAGAAACAAAACAAGAATCACAGACAATTCGCGCAATTAGGGAGCAAACTGCTGCTAAAAGTCTACAATATGTGAAATGAAAAGACTATCAAAAAAAGGTACCCTCTTCCCGTGGAAAGTCCTGCCTTCATAGTCCTCTCCCTGGGGAGTCTGGACAACGTGGACCTAAGAAAATATAAACATGAAATTATTGCTCAAGGAAGCCCCAATGGTCGTCAATCAGTCTCCCACATCTAGCTGCCATTTTGATTTGTCCACAGAAACACTCCACCTGTGACCCTCTGGTTCCAAAGCACAAGTCCTTACAAATGAGCTACTGCTGCCTGGTACGGCACATTAGATTAACAAAGGTGTTACTTCATCAGCATGTAGTTGAGTTAGAAATGCTGGTTTAACTTAAATTTTACTGCTTTAGCATGCTAATGCAGGGTCCGACAATAATGGTGCCCGGTGACCACCATGTGACTGTATTGGGCCACCCAAAGTTCATTGATGCTGCGCTGACTGGACCACCAGTAAATATTTGATCAATAAATTTGATGAAATCAACACATCTTCGCTTTTTTAACGAATAGTCAATATTTTGAGTTTCAACCTCTTACTTTTACCTCTGCTGTGCACATTCACCCGCCCGGATTCACTGATGCATTGTGCGCAACACACCCATGTGCATTTTGGCCACTGAGTCAACAAGCTTCACCATTTGTATTGTATTTCATCTACACTGTTTCATCTACATATAAAATAATGCATTTTGTTTAGTAGTTTTTAAATTATAACACCGGTATACTGGGGAGTGGAGAGAGTGGAAATATTTTTAAGTGGCTGCCTTGACCGCCTACTGATGCTCCATGTGAGCATTTTGGCCACTCAGACGACAACGTTTCTTGACTACATAGACTGTATACTTGTGATTTTTGTTAGGCATTGTTTCAAATCACATTATCTACTATACTGGGAGTGGAGAGTGTGGATATGTCATACATGGCAATGGCGAGTGATGAAAAAAGCGGAAGGGGCGTGGCCTGGACGGGGGCGTGGCCTGGACGGGGCGTGGTTACTTACAAAAGTGGCACTAAACATGCTGAAGATGAAGTGTATTAAATTTACACAGTTTGAAAATTGAACAGAAAAAAATCCCAAGATTGCCACTATTCTTTCAAGTGAAAATTTGTGCAATTTTGCCTATGCATTCCTGGTGAGCACCAATATGTAACTCCAAATTTGCTGCTCAAAATCAAAACTAAAAAAGTAAACACATTCCCTGCCATATTTAAGATTTGTTCATGACTTGTATTCATAAAGTGTTGTGTAAATGTGATAAAAAGCTGTTGATTCTTACCTCATACAGTCACGTCTTTAGTTGTATCCGCTGACTAGGTTTGTTTGAAAAATGCCGATCCCAAAGAATAATTGCTCCGTCGAATGGCGATTTTGTCGGCATGTTTTTTCACTTTTGTTGCATGATCTGTCAGTGCCACGCATCCACGGGAGCCATAGTTAATTAAGTCACTACAATACACACAATAAGCTTTGCCTGCTACGTCTGGTTTCTTCAAAAATTGTCCAAGAGCTTCTGTAACTTCGTCGAACTTGGAACCAATTTTAACCTTTACAGTGACTTTTCTGTCAAGCCAGTCCAATCGGAATTTATTCTTGACATTTGAGTCAATTTCTAGGATTAAAGACTCCTGATCTTTCGTCAAAAATTTCGTAATTCCGCTCAAAACGATCCCAGAACAATGAATTTGCGAGACGAACAGGCCGCCATGAATCAGGTAAAACAATATGTTACATGCAATTTGATTGGTCCAATCGCTTGTAGTTAACCAATCGCTGGGCCGTTTATAATCGAGCTAAGACTTCCGCAACAAATAATGCCTTCAGTGATCTGATTAGTTGAAGCTTTCATATACGTCCAATTGCAGGGCTGTTTACAAACGGAAAACGGAGAGACTGTTCGGGAGAGCTCGTGAAAACTCGACGATAAGGTACCTGACCGCCCCTAAAATTTTCTCAACGGATTTAGACGATTCACAAAAATGATCAATTTAAGAAATAAAACGGCGGATTTCCGCGGATCCGCGGAAAATTGCCATGTATGATATGTTTTTTTCGTTTGTTTGTTTTTTTAATCGGATGCCTTCATTGCCCATTTGGGCCGTTGAGCCTACACATTTCACTATTTCATCCATAGGTAGGCCTAGAAATTTAATTAAGAAATTAAGTATTGTTTTAAATCAGGGGCCAGTGCCAGGGCCATTACAATTTAGCTTCTCCTAGAAAGGCGTAAGAACCCTGTAATAGTGTTTGCCAACCTTTATGAGCCAAGGCACAAATTTTACATGGGAAAATATCTCATGGCACACCACTGAGCAAAACGATTCACAAAAAAAGGCTACGCAATTTAATTATGTACCATCTGCCGTTTCGTAGAAGAGCATTTGATTGTTCTTCCTTTTACTAAGGGTGGTTGGCATAGATTAAATACACGCACGCACACGCACACACACACACACACACACACACAAAAAATAATTTTTCATCCAAATAACTGATTTTGGATCATGTCCCACGGCAGTCCTGATGTTCTCTCACAATAATGTGCCACGGCACACTGGCTGAGAATCACTGCTGTAATACATTCTATCAAATGGTCACAAACCTCCCCCAGACACGAGGCTGCTTCAAAATAATCTGTCTCTCTCAAACGAAAGTGGCCCCACCACACAAGCTATGAGTTCATCATTCTCCTATGTGAGTTTTAATAAATAAATACTTTAACATGATCATAGTCATATCCTAATTGGAACTCCTAAAGTATGTTTCCTGTAAAAGAAAGGGAGTCACTTGAATTTACAGAAAACGTACACGTCATGACGCAGACTACCTTTGCCTCAATTTGAGCAAGGAAAAACCCTGACGATACAGTGATGACTTACAATATACAATACATACAATACATGCTGATTTATATCGCATTTTCACAACAGCTACAGCTGTAACAAAGCGCTTAACAAAACAGTTAACATAAAGTAAAATAATAAACAATACATAACATAAAACACAGACACCCAATATTTACAGAAGATGACATTTGTACATATCAGTACAAATCCTCTTGGCCCGCTTCCCTCCACTGTGCACAAAATAAGAATGGTGTCAACATTTGGACCACTCACTTTTGCTTGTCTCTTTTTTGGAAAAATAGTTGCTGGAAGAGTCAGACAATTTGATAAATTGGCAACACTGCAGACAAGTCGTAGTAGCTCTTGCTGCAGACACAAGTCTTGCTTACTGCTCCACTTGTACTAGCATCCACACATTTGCACATAAAATAAAAGCACAATTTTAAAAATAGAAAACTCTGCATGATTTATCCTTTACTTTGACTTTAGGGTCACTGTGAGGGCTTGTCAGAAATTGTGGGCGGGTCTGATGTGGGCCGTATTTTGCTCATGTGTGGTCTATATGCACGCACATGCACACTTTCTTCCAGTAGGTAAGGAGAGCACACAGGAAGAGCAGCACACTGAATTTGATTGCAGCATGAACTCATGATGCACAAACTGTTCAATTCTGTAAATTTCTTCTGAATTATGAATACCATTCTATGTTTTTTAAGTACACTATTATATATTATAGAGTGCTATTTTCCCTTATGAACGTCACACTTTCTCGCTGTAGCTTTTCAGTGTTAAGTCTGTGTTGATTCCAAATTAATGTATGAACTGTGTATCTTGTGCTTAAGCACCTGTGATGGTAGGAAGGACAGCGCTCGCTCAATCAACAGACGCATCAGTCTCTTGGAGTAAAAGATGAACTCATCCCGGCTGGTTTCCTTGTTCCTATAGAGAGGTGACATGGAAAAGAAAAGTGTACATGCTATGTGCACCCTGGCAATTTATTCAAGTGAAAAATTGAAATTGTACCTGATAATGGTGTGCATGCCTTTGACCTGGGGTGTACTCTCCAGAACGCTGAGAGTCTGCGGAAGCGGTTGAGCTTGATGAGCGGAGGCCAGGGCTGCCCTGTCACCGCGGCAACAAACGGGGGCACGGGTTGAGAGGGAAAAAAAAAGAATAGTGGGCATCAGCACCATCCAATGTGGAAGTTCATGAATGCACATTCATTCCCCCCATTAAAAAACAAAACAAAACAAAAAAAAAAACAACAACACACAAACGTGTAAGTAGTGTGAATGCAGAAGCATAAAAACATCACAAAGAGTAAAAACAGCTTTAGGATTGGTTTGCAAAAGCAGAAAGACAAAATAGCAAAGCACACAGTGTCCTGGTTAGCCTCATTTGGTAGAAAATTAGAACAGAAAAAGAGACCATGACAAGTTTTTTTTAAGGTGGATGCTTTTTGTTTTACATCTTTTGGTCTCAGTGAATTGTAGTAATTTTCCATGATTCCACACATATTAACTACATGGGTTTGGATATGGAAGCTGTTAGCCGAGGGGGTTACCCTTTGGCTGCAAATTGAACACACACCGTTACTAATAGTGATGCAGTTGTGGGTGACTAACATGACGCTCCAAACAGCTACAGAGCCAAACCTCTCACTGAGCTACACAATAGCCAGATGCAAAGGAGAAAAAAAAGAAATCATAGCAAATCTGCTCACATATCCCAGCGAAGTTTCCTCTATGGGGAATTTTCGGCGAAACACGACGACACAGAAAGATGGAGAACAACAGATCAGGGGAAGAGAAATGAAAGGGCACAACATCAAGATGGATGAAGGGCCAATCTTACAGTGAACAACATGTTTCCCATGAATGTCTATCTGTGGAAATTTTCACTTGTGCTCTTATGATTTTTGCAGCTGTGCAACTACGATGTGCAAATGCGTGGGTGGTACACGAGCTAGTGTGGCACTCATTTCATCAAAGTTTAGAATGATGGAAGTTGGTATTTCATTTCACTTCCTTTGTGTGCGTCTGTCAGATTCTGTGGCGTGACATTCAATGGAAAGAAAAACTCAGCACTTTGCAGCAAGGGCACTGGAAACTCTCAGCGGCCAATGACGTGTGCAACTGTCGCAAGATCGGCTACTCACAGCACTGCTGCTGTGTTTTTTTTTTTTTTATACATATCGTTACTCTCTCTCGTCACCACTGGGAGGAGGGGTCAAACATTGTGCTCAGGGCAAATTTTTAGACACAGAAGGCAGCAAGAGTGTTTGTGAGTTGTCATTTCTCGAAAAGAGGGAAAACCAACATCCTTACATGAATTGCTGGCTGCTCCACATTCACCTCACCATCTACTTCAACAATGATTCTTAATTTCTTAAAGGTCCCATGCCATCATCATTGACATGGTTTAAGTTTGACATCTATATTGTTTGTTGATCGTACGCATCTGTTAAAAGACAAAAGGCTTGCGACACGAGCGCATCAGATTTTGGTGGCGTCGTGACATAGATTGAAGAATGAATGACTCAAAGACCTGCCCATTTTGTGGTTGCAACTGAAGGGTTGCACACCTGCATCTTAATGCAAAGCTCAGGGCCTCCACACACCAATCTGACGTGGGCCAATTTTACCGACGTTATGGCCGACTATGCGTCGGCACGTCGGGCCAGAAAAGTGACACCGTACACACTGCAACGAGCCGGCCACGACGCCCACTACCTTCTGCTCATGTACTAGAGGCGATATCCCTCCTTACCATCAGTTCTTCATTCCAACCCAGAAGCTCGATGGCAAAACATTTAAACCTTTTCCCTCAAACTTGGCATCTAAAAATTGTGTTTTGAGCAACTAACAGATTAAGCTTGTTCCATGTCATCGATATGTATGCAACGAGATGCGAATCAAGTACAAAATGCGCAAAACCTGTGCATGCATTCTTCCTATATTTGTTCTTCGCTGTTTGTTTGCGTTTGTCACTTTTGCTTATTGTCTCATGCACTGATTTGTTAGCTAACACTACCAGTCAATCAGAGTGATCAATTGTCATGACAGCCTGAATCGGGCATTTGGAAACGCCCCATCGCTCCCAACAACGGCTACGACATGCCAACGGTGCGCCCTACACCAAACAGTGATGCCTGGCCCAACTGCCGACGACGTCGGATTGGTGTGTAAAGGCCAAAAAAGGTTTGCCTCAACCACCAGCCTTGGAGGGGATGAAGAATGAATGGTTTAAATTTATTGTGGGAGAAATTCCTAAGCTTTTCGGAACCAGATTTGTGCTGTGTTTGATCAAATTTTGTGAAGGCTGACTTTGTAAATAGGAGCTTTCACACACGTTAAAATGATATTTCTGGGTTTTAAGTGAATAAGATAGAGCCGGCCGCCGCCAAGCCCTAAAACTACAGGAAGTATACAGTATATAAATTGTGTTTTACAAAAACACTTAAGTATATTTATAATTTATAATGAATTTAAGAATGGAAATGTGAACCTTGCAGTCATTGTTACCAAAATGTATGTGGAGCGATGCGCCGGTTACATTCAAGTGAATGGGAGCTGATCAAACTTGACTATACCCTTTTTTCTTTTTGCCCACATGATCTGTTGCTTCCCGCTTTTCCCTTGATTGTTACTCTCTGTTATAGTTTGTTAATGATGATGAATGACAATATATTCTATGAGGAGCTTCAAAAGCTGATACAGACTCGCTATTCAGGGCATCCATGTCACTCATTTGCGGGTATGAGTCTCGATGGTGCTTGGTGAAATCCCAACGTGGCTGCTCGAGATGCCGCGATATTGCCAACTACCAATCAGAGGAAAGCTATATTCCATAAACAATTTGAGGAGAACAGCGATCCAATCAACGCAAAGGTTGTTTGAATATGATCAATTAATATGAATCCTCCTGATCACGATGCCATTTGTTTTTGACCAACTAGAAGAGCTTGAAAAGTGGCATCCCGGGAACTTCCAATAAATTATCTTGCAAACACGATAAAAGGACATCAAAGATTAGGGGAAAAAATGTGCCATGGGACCTTTTACACAACTTTGGCACAGTTTTGTCCAATAATTAATTTGCATTGTTCTTGTCTACAGTTGTGGTGCCTGGTGATGTCACATGGCAGCCAGCAAAATGGTGAAGGCAGAGGTTGGCTGCTTCCCTCTCTTTCTCCCTGCCTTGCAGTAAGACAATGCAGGAGCAGTCGGGGAAGAGACGGTGGATGATAGACAGGATTAAAGGCCACTCTACCTGACGCTGAGCTCGCGCTGTGAGCCGTGGAAGGTGGCGGGATGACAGTGTGGTGGGAAAAGAGTGGGAGAGCAATTCATCATGAGTGTGCGAGTGTACATGTGGGTAGAAGGGGAGAGAATAAAAGCGTAATGTGCCCCGGGTCCATCAATCAGGAGAAATTACACTGCACATCTGTTCTGGGAACTGCCACTGTACAACAACCAGCCACAATATCATGACCTCAATTTATTCAGTGGCTTGCGAAAGTATTGGCCCTCTTTTGAACCTTTTGCCACATTTCAGGCTTCAAACAAAGATATATAAATTGCAATTTGTTGTTGAGAATCACTGTCAAGTGGGACACATTCATAAAGTGGAACAAAGTTCCGACAATATTTTAAAGTGTTTTTAGAAATAAAAAACTGAAAAGTGGGCCATACAAGATTATTCACCTCCCCTGAGTTAATACTCCGTATTAACTCGGGGGGGTGAATAATAAAAGTAACTTTGGGTGTGATTATAGCTTCAAGTCTTTTGGGGTATGTCTCAAACAATATAGGACCTTTAGAATCATTCAAAGTAAGAAAATAACGACAATGATTCCTCATTAAGTGCAGCACATGGTCTAACCACAAGAGGGGGTGGTAGCGCAAAGCAAGCACTCACATTGAAAGCACTAAGGACAATCGCCTTTTACTGGATTTGTTCATCTCCCAGGGTTGGGAGAGACCCCTCTGTTCACTTCAGATACATTTTCATCGGTTGAGAGGGTCTTGTACTTTTTTTTTTTTTTAAATTTTTTTTTTTTTACTTTTAACTTTGTGGGGACTGTTGGGGAAAAGTTCTATTCTATTCCAGGGAATTAAAAAAGATGGCGCATAAAGACTTTCTCCTCGGAGTTTAGTATGGGATAACTAGACAGGCCCTTATCAAATCCTGAACCTGGGACAAAGTAAACACCATTAGCAAGGAGGAGGGCCTAAGTTTCAACTCACACACTTGGAATTAACTGGTATGATGCGTTTCCTACGTGTCCATGCTTTAGGTTGAATGTGTGAACGTTCTCACCTCCTCCAGCTGACTGTGGACGTGCTGCACTATCAAATCAATGGCCACCATGTTCCCGCCACCTGATGGAATGACAACAGAAAAGTGCGTTGCTCTATGCAATCTCAAAATAACTTACAAGCAACTTCTTGAAGAATGTCGCTAGAACATCACTCCTCCCTTTCCTGTTCACACTAAGTCATGCAATTGCGTGTGCGTGGATGGCGAACGTACCACGAGGCACCACAATATCAGCCAGGCGCATGGTTGGTTCGATGTACTGTTCAAAGGATGGCTTGACAAACTTATTGTACTGTTTGATGACGCCCTCGATGTCCCGGCCTCGCTCGGTTATGTCCCTCCTCAGCCGCCGCACGAGACGGATGTCTGAGTCAGTGTCGACAAAAATCTTCATGTCCAGTAACTTCAAAGACAAATGAAAATTGTTTAGCATTAAGTTTCGGTTAGAATCATTTTCTCAATGTATTTTGGGCAAAAAGGCCCAAGTGCAAGGAAGAGTGTATACCATCAGAACATGTTCAAAAACAAGCACATTAGCCCTACCTGCAAGAGCTCTTTATCGACAAAGGCCATGATCCCCTCAAAGATGATTACACTAGCTCCATACACTGTTTTCTGTAGTGGATTAATATCATGACATAAATAATGAGACAATTTAAAACTGATACAAAATGCTCAAATCTGCAAAATAACAAAGGGCGCAAACCCCCGCAGATCAATTATTTGGCTCTTTCATCCTTACCCACTCCTTCTGTCTCCCATGTGTTGTGAAGTCATACACGGGGATTTTCACACTCTTGCCCTGCTTGAGCTTTCGGAGCGTGTGCGTCAGCAAATCAAAGTCGAACGCATCGGGATGATCAAAGTTATAGTCGTTACTGGCAGCCCGTGTCTGTTGCTCTAAGGAGAGGACCTGATGAACACCATCAACACGTTTCATAAGTGATACGGTGACCTACACAATCTTGCATGCCTGCAATCACTGTCGACGTACAATGACAAAATGATTTCTGGAAAAAAACCAAACTTGTCGATTTCTCCCAATCGAACATATTCAGCAGTTATGTGTAGTCATACAATAGCAGTGTTAACGCGACAAGATATACCCCGCCCCCACCCCCTAATCTACTTAGTTATGTTAAGGTTGAAGTGTGACTGCCAGGCATGTCTAAAATCAAACTGTTATGCTGCTGTATATGCGTCATTTTCATGTAATGTGATCAGTAACAACATATCCCATTGAATTTCACTTCAATTAATTTTACTGATATCAGAATTTGTATTATTGACAGTTATCATGCAAAAAGTGCCAGTAATAATTGTAAAAATAATAAATATATCCATCCATCCATTTTACAATCCGCTTATCCTCACAAGGGTCGGGGGGTGGGGGGTGGCTGCTGGAGCCTGTCTTAGCTGTCTTCGGGCAGTAGGCGGGGGAATTTTAGTTTTGAATTACACAGTGAACTGCAGACATGAAGGGTATTAAGATAAGTGAGAATGTGATTGCTATTTTGTGCTCAACTTTTTAAAATTATTTTTTAATCCATGTATTACTTCAAGAGCTCTGGTATATTTATGCAGTGATGGGTTCTCTCAACAAAACAGTGGCAAAATTTAAGGGGAGATAGGATTTGTGATTTCTCTCAAAAAAGTAAAAGAAATCTTCAAATTACATTTGTAATGGACTGCCTTGAAATTTGTGTGTTTTTATCATCTTTACTGTTCTGGCCAAAAAAGTTAAATCACCACTAATTCTTTGCAACTAGGACTTCAAGTATGGCTGTTTCAGTGCCCATACTCTGAAGTACTGGCTAACGTGGAGCTCTGATATTCAAATGACCTTGTACGCTGGTGGGGTATGACAAACAGTCCATTTGTCCCTGTAGAAAGTGATTTTTCTTAATCACAAATTGATTGTCGTGCCTCCAATTGTGAAGAAGCATTTAAGGCACATATGTCAAAGTGCCGGCCCTTGGGATGATATTGATTTATTATTAGAACCGGCCCGCGGACCCCAGCAAGCCGAGAGCCCGCAGATCTTTTACACGCACCAATACTACATTTCCCACAATGCAACGGTGACGCGCCAAGCAGTCGGCCGCTTTATTTAAATATTTATTAGTCTCGCAGTCGTTCCCATAACAGTGACATTAGCTTTCAGATACCCATCAAAAATGGCAAAACGGAAGGTGGACACTGAGAACCGGGGGTTTCAAACAAGGTGGGAGTCGAAGTACATGTTCATGGACGTAGCTGGAAAACCTGTGTGTCTTCTGTGCGGAGAAAGTGTGGCGCGATTGAAATAGTGTAATCTGAGACGACATCATGAAACGAAACACGCGAACAAAAACAAGAACATGGACATGGAAGGGGAAGGGGGATTTCATTAAAAACGGTATACTTAAAGTTTGTGACGAAGTTTACCCCAAAAAAAGCAACTCTTTTTAAACGTGAGCATTAGCAGAAACACAATGGCAGTGTTTC